TTTTTTTTTTTTTTTTTTTTTTTTTTGCAGGCTTTTGCGAAAGCTCAAAAGACGAAAGCGTACTTCAAACGATACCAGGTCAAGTTCAGGAGAAGAAGAGGTATTTCCAATTTTTTGTTGTTTTATCTTGATGAATAGACTTGAGAAGTTTTTCAGTTTCTGATGTTGATCTCTTCTCCTGATAATGTACAGATGGTAAGACTGATTACCGTGCTAGGATTCGCCTCATTAATCAAGACAAGAACAAGTACAACACTCCCAAATACCGTTTTGTTATCAGATTTGTATCCTCATGCAGTTTGCTAAGTAGCGCAGTGATGTTTTGTTTTATTCTCCAATTGTTTCTTGATAAACTTGCAATGAGTGTTTTGGATCTTCCTCTCCCTTTTTCCCCTACTTCATTTTTCATGTCAGGGATACGAATACATGCCTCAACATAGGAATTTTTAGTTGGATGCATCATTTACTTAAGAGTTACGAGATGTAGGTTCTGTGGATTGGTCTATTGATTTATTTTGCAAGCTTTGATAGGCTTCCTTGTGCTATTCTGTGGTATAGTTATTCATCAAATTTATTAACATAGGATCAGTTCTTTTCCTTTTATGGTCCATTTAGATTCCTGCAAGTTCTCAATTTTCTATAATTTTCTTCGAATACATTTGACTTTCTGTTAATAGCTATATGTACCTTTTTATGTGTTGTTATGAATGGTGAGCTCTACTTGTGTTCACTTGAGAAATGGGAACCTTGATGTTAATATCTAGTCTAATAAGGATATTACAGCACAAATATTATCTTCTAGCATTGCTGGTGACATGGTTCTTGCTTCAGCTTATTCTCATGAGCTGCCTCATTACGGTCTTGAAGTTGGTCTAACAAATTATGCAGCAGGTAATATTTTGCACTGCATGTCTCTGGGTGAGTTTTTTCCCCCATCTTTTTCTAACTTCTTCATTTGTCTGGAATGGGTGTATGAAACGTGTGTAGCCTACTGCACTGGGCTCCTCTTGGCTCGCCGTGTCTTGAAGAAGCTTGAGATGGATGATGAGTACGAGGGTAATCTTGAGGTAATCTATCAGTCTCCTCCATCTTCTCTTATAAAAGAACAAAATGAAATCTAAATAAAATGAAGTTCACCTCTTCTGTTATGGCTTACCCATTCCATTAAAAGTTTTATCCACTGGAAGTGTTTGTATAATTAGGTTACCGGAGAGGATTACTCTGTGGAACCCACAGATAGCCGAAGGCCTTTCAGAGCCCTCCTTGATGTAGGTTTAGTCCGAACAACAACAGGAAATCGTGTTTTTGGTGCCCTCAAGGTATTTTTAGCTATTCCATTTAAGATGAGCTTCAAGATCCGTCCTTTTTCTTCTATTTGCAATATTTTTATATGGTTTGATGAGTGTTGCATGAGTGGCTTTATTTATTTTTTTTAACCCATGGCTGGGTACAAAATGAGTAATATATCTCGTCGAACCAATTGTACATTTATGTGACATGTATATGTGTGTATTTTCTATATTTTGTTCTTTCGAACGTCTGTTTCAAATTTGAGCTTCCATGTTCATTATAATTTTGCTGCTTATTGTAATCGTGATGATAAGCTTTCAAGTTCACTGCAGTATCTGTTCGCGTTGTAATTTGAAAGATTACAAATTTCCAATTGGGACAGTAAATATTAGTGGCTCTTGGTATCTTTTCTCAAACCACTGAAGCTATATATTTCACGTCACACAGGGAGCTTTAGATGGTGGACTAGATGTACCACACTCTGTCAAGAGGTTTGCTGGATTTTCAAAGGACAGCAAGGAGCTTGATGCCGAAGTTCATCGCAAATACATATTTGGAGGCCACGTTGCTGCCTATATGAGGGTAAAGTTTCATAAGTTATTTCTTTATAACTATTTCAAAAGTTCCAGTATTAGTGCACAAACGAATTAGAATAGCCATGAAAATTCGTTTTCACTCTGAGTTGTATCACCAGACCTTGATGGAGGATGAGCCAGAGAAGTACCAATCTCAATTCAGTGAATATATCAAGAAGGGGATAGACGCTGACAACATTGAGGAGTTGTTGAAAAAAGTTCACTCTGCCATCCGTTCAGAACCCTTGTTGAAGAAGGTTGAGAAGCAACCACCAAAGAAGCACAAGAGGTAAATGACGAAACTCGGTTCATTTTTCATGATTGAACTAGCATTTTTAGTTCTGCATTCTAACGCGGTTTGTCTGATAGGTATAACTTGAAGAAACTCACGTATGAAGAAAGGAAGGCCAAGTTGGTTGAGCGTTTGAATGCGTTGAATTCTGCTGCAGGAGCTGACGACGACGAAGATGATGAAGAGTGATTCAACCCGACACAAACTGTATTTCTACCAATTCTATCATTACAAACTCCTCAGTTTAAGTGAAAAAATCTATAGATTGTTTTTTCTGAGTCTCCCGAGGCAATTTTGCAGCTTTGTTTAAGCGTTTAGTGTTCTAGTTTTAGATTGGCAAAGTTCAATTTTGAGAGTCTGGATATGAAGATGTTAACTTGGTTGTGTGTTTATTTATGCCAATTGCATCTTTTATTTTCATGTAGTTGATTCGTTGGATAGAATGCTTGATGCTTGGGACTGACCTAATCTTGGATCCAGTCGTTTGCATTCTGTTTCTGTTTATATAATGCATACAGCTCTAGTTGCGGGTTGGGCCGATTCAATGGCTCTGTACGAATTAGCAGTTTTTGATTCTTCTGATCCTGTTCTTGATCCTAATGGGGAGCTATTCCTGTTCTTGATCCAATGTGGAGACAAGGTTGGGTCGATTCAATGGCCCTGTATGAATTAGCGTTTTTTATCCTTCTAATCCGATCCAAAGACAAGGTATCATGGGGGGTTGGAGTATCACACTAGCGACCGAAAAAAACACTTAAATAAAGAAAAAAACACTTAAATAAAGGAAAGAATTAAGACAGATATTGGAAAATTAAGATATTAAGCATAACATTTCTTTTTTATAATTCTTGAGTTAGTTCATTTATTTTATTTAAGGGAAAAAAAAAATAAACTAACATCATAACGGGATGGAATTAATTAACATATTAACCATAACTAAAATTTGGGCATTTTATTTTAAAATATTATTTTCATTTTTTTATTATTTCAAATCTTATCAGAAAATCATTTCCAAACGAAAAATAAATCTTATCGGAATAGGAAAAATCCAAAGAAGAAAAAATGATTTGACAAATTATCCTAAAATATTTATTTATTTTTTTCAATTAATATCAAATTAGTTTTTAGCAAAAATAATCACGAGTTTAACAAAATCTGAGTACCTCTAGATATAAAAACAAAAAAAAAAAAAACTAGAAAGACAGAAAAGTAAATTTCCAATAAAGTTTAGAACAACAAAATTCAAGATCCAAATACTGAAGTTCTTAGCTTCTGAAGAACTTCTGTTCTTGTAGATGTAGAACATAAAAACAGTAATAAATAACATAGCGAGAAAAAAAATTAAATGATCAGTTGAATGGGTGAGCAGTCTCTAATCCAGTGTGATCATGAAGTGACAGAGATTAGCATTAATCAGAAGTAAAATCTGAGGCAGCGAGCAAAGCCACATGGAATCAAGAACAAGATTTTCACACCCCACCAATAGCAAAACGAGAGGCGAAGAACAAGAGTTGAAGATGAAGTTTCTTCAATAAGCCACACGATTCGATCCCTTCTATCTAATTTCTCTTTCAACTTTCTTCACCCAATCCCGTCTTTCGAACATTCATCTCTCACGATCTTCATGTAAGTTCTGCTCTGTTCAGCTCACTGCACTCTCGCACTATCATTTTTTCAGGTGTTCTGATACCTAGTTCTTCCATGGATCGCCAATGGTTCGCTTATGTTTTTATCTGAATTCGTCGTATTTTTGTTCTAATTTTGATGTTTTTGTTATGAATAGTTTTGAATTTCGGAGTTTCTGTGCTATTTCTCTCTCTCTCTCGCGCGCGCGCGCTAATCTGAACTTTCTTCTTTAGGATGAAAGGCTGTTGAAGCTTTTTCCCTCATTACTGCGATTCGTTGGATTCAATTCAAAATGTTGTCGGTTTGCTCGGCGACGCCCAACTGTTCTTCTCAATCTAAGGTTATCTTGTGCTTTTGAACTATCTTTATTCATCATTTGTTTTTGATAGAATGCTTTAAATACTTCAAAATTGATGACACTCCTTTGCTGGAGAATCAGTCAATTAGTATTTAGTTGATGGCGCCCTCTTAATTTGGTGCCGTGCTGTTCTAACGGATGAGATTTTACTCGAAGGCTGTTTGATGTCTGGGATACTCAATCCTTGTAACTGCATGCGTAATCAAATGTTTCTGACATGGAACAATGAAATAAACCTGCAGATTACTTTCCATGGCGGCCTGAGACTCTTGCTCCCATCCCAAAAGGGTGTTCAAGTTGGTAGCCATGGAGGTTTTCCTAAAGCTTTTGCCACAAGATCTTCTTTCTCTGATTTGGCTACAAGCGCTCAACAGCAATTATCCATAGGTAATAATAGTTACTGGTTTCCAAATGAATCAAATCATCTAAGTTGTAGAAATCTCTCAAGTTTTTGTTCAGTTGGTAACAATAAATGAAGAACTCCACATTTTGGCAGGTGGAGTGAAATATGTAGAGAATTCCAGTTTATCAGCAGGAGGAGAGGCACTCCTTGATGTCTCTGGACAACATCGTGAAATTCCATCAGTTCATGAAACCGTGTCAACCGATAACATTGCATCTGAGAAAACACTCTTTGTGTCGGACTCTCTAAATTTTGATAACAATTCAGTTTTGAATACGAAAGCAAGTGCTTTGGGTTTCTTTGATCGGGTCAGCGAGTCTTTTAATGCTTCTATTCAACAAGGGGAAAATCTGGTCGAAAAATCACTGGATACAATAAACTCATCCACATCAGCCTTGATTAAACGGGGCAATCAAAGTGTTGATGATGCCTTCAATAGCATATTTTCATCTGTTGATCAGATTGGGGAACAAGGTCGTAATCGACTGTCCAACTTTTCAACTGGGTTCAAGGAAGGCTCGTTCAAAGCTTCTGTTTCCGCAATCGACGTGTTGAGACAAGCAGTTGTTGCAATTGAGGATTCTCTAGCAAATGCAACTTCATTTGTTGTCTACTCATATGGATCAGTCAAGGAAGTCTTTCCTCCTGAAATCAGGGATGCTCTAAGTTCATCTGAGCAAAGAGCAGCTGAAATTTTTAGCCCTGTCAGGACTGGTTTTCAGAAGGTATTGGTTAAAAATTTAAGATGTCATTTGGGTCTTATTTGATTGTTTAAAAGTTGTATATTAACATATCTTGAGCATCCCAATGACAATAATATTATACATCAAATGTATTTTTGGAAAGCAGATTTACCTCACCATTGAGAGTTTGGAGAAAATCCTCGGCTTAGATCCAAGTGATCCGCTTGTTCCATTTGTACTCCTCGTTGGAAGCTCTGTCACTCTGTGGTATGATTATTCTTTACGCTTGAGGATATTATCGTTATTCTGCGACATGGAGGACATAGAATCCATTTCTTGAGGTTTAAGATTTAAATCAGATTTGTGCAGGGTTTTCTATTGGAGGAGGACATATGGTGGTTATTCTGGAGATTTATCTCCTCAATCAACTTTCGAGCTTCTGAAAGGATCAGAAAACGCTGTTCTTATTGATGTCCGGCCTGAGGCAAGAGACTGTAAAATTTCATGGCCTTTGTATTCACAACATTGAGCATGTTTAAGTCCTTTCTCCAGATAATAACTATTGTGTTGAACGTTTCATTTGAGCCTACTCTTCTACTGTTCCATGAAATACACACACACACACATATATATATAAAAGAAATATGGACTTTTTCTTAATGAAGTCATTAAAATTTTTAGTACCAGGTTCAAATTTTAAATTTGTTGTGGTTGGTCTTTTCTTTCTTCTTTTTTTTCTGTAGGATTTGAGAGAAAAAGATGGGATTCCTGATCTTAGACGTAGAGCGCGAGCTCGCTACGCAAGTGTAACTCTACCAGAGGTTGGTTGTGTGCATTGTTTTATTTGGAAGTATCCAGAAAAATGATAAGTTCTTACTTGACACAAAAAAACAAGGATTGTACTCTATTCCATGCTTCTTCTTATAGCTATTTGTGCCCTTAATTTTCAGGTTGATGACTCTATCCGGAAGTTAGTAACGAATGGAAGAGACCTTGATGACGCTTTACTTGCTTCTGTCATCCGGAACTTAAAGATTGTTGAGGTAGTCGGTTTTTTATCTTTTAAGTGGCCTTTGAGTACTTGGCCTATTTGAAAATAGTATTTGGTTTGATTAATGATGTGATTATTGGCTTATGCTCTCTGTAGGACAGGTCCAAGGTTATCATCATGGATGCCAATGGTACAGGTTCTAAAAACATTGCAAGATCATTGAGAAAACTTGGGATCAAGGCATGTATTCTATATTCCTAACATTCTTTTCAAGGAATGTAGAAACACTTCCAAAATTTTAAACTTTGTTTGATCATGAGAACTTTAATACATGCAGGAGACAGCGTGGTTGGGAAACTTAGCTGTAGGTTGAAATATTAGCACATCTAATTTTTTCCCTACATATCACGGGTTGGAGAGGGGAACGAAGCATTCCTTATAAGGGTGTGGAAACTTCTCCCTAGCAAACGCATTTTAAAACCGTGAGGCTAACGACGATACGTAACGAGCCGAAGAAGACAATATTTGCTAGCGGTAGACTTAGACTGTTACAAATGGTATTAGAACTAAACACCAGGAGGTGTGCGAACAATGACGTTGGAATCTCAAGGGGGCGGATTGTGAGATCCCATTGGTTGGAGAGGGGAACGAAGCATTCCTTATAAAGGTGTGGAAACCTCTACCTAGCAGACGCGCTTTAAAACCGTGAGGTTGATGGCGATACGTAATGGGCCAAAACGGACAATATCTGCTATCGGTGAACTTGGATTGATACATATAACCTATTCTCTGAGGAAATGTGCTGTTGAATTACTTACCAATATCTTTAATATTATACCAATGTTATTATTATTTTGGGTAACCCTAAGAAAAAAATCTTACAAATCCAGTAATTGAATGTTCCTTGCATTCAAATTGCTCAAGACTCAATGCCCTTTTGATATTTACTTGACAGAAACCATACTTGATCCAAGGTGGATTTCGGTCCTGGGTGAAGGAGGGCCTCCGCATCAAGGAGCTCAAATCTGAAACAGCACTTAGCATACTTAATGAGGTATCTTACGTTTTTTGCTGTGTAGTCAAAATTATGAAAATAGCTCAAAGAAATATTTAGTTCCCATGTAAACTTGTCTCTTCTGAGTCAAACTGCAATCATTTCAGGAAGCTGAGGCGATCTTGGCGGAAATAAATCCATCTCCCGTGCAAGTTCTGGGTTATGGTTTGGTAAGGTTAACTTTACATTCACAATATTTCAGCAAGAAGTTGATGACCATTGAACTGATTTTTATTCATGGCTTTTGCTCCTGTTATTAACTCCATGTGCACTGCAATCAGAGGAATAGAGACACTGTCAGGATTCCTCTAACAAGAAATATACACAAACAAACTATATTGCAACATCAACAAAGATTACAATATCAAAAGACTGTGTCACCAAAGCCCCTGCACTGAGACAATACCAAAATCTTCTCCCTTTCTAAAAGCCCCAACTCCCAGATTCTCAATGACCAAGTGAGCCCATGCCCACTGCTATCAGATATTGTGTTGTTTGGAGTTTTCCTTTCGGGCTTCCCCTCAAGGTTTTTAAAATGCGTCTACTAGGGAGGGGTTTCGACACCCTTATAAAGAATGCTTCGTTTCCTTCTCTAACCAATGTGGAATCTCACAACCCACCCCTCTTCAGGTCCAGCGTCCTTGCTGGCACTCGTTCCACTCTCCAATTTCCAATTGATGTGGGATCTCACAATCCACCCTCTTCAGGACCCAACGTCCTCCTTGACACTTGTTCCCCTCTCCAATCAATGTGGGATCTCAAATGCTAGATATCAAGTTTATATTGGCTTGATAAATTCATTCATTTCACATTTACATAAAAGACGATCTTCCCTGTAATTTTTTTTTTCTCTTTCCCTTATGTTGGTTGTTGATGGTGGGTGGGCGGGGGGGTTGTTCTGATATGCATCTTTCTCTAAACTCTTCGTTTTTCATTTTGTGCAGGGTCTCGTTGCAACTTTATATGCTTTACTAGGTAATGCAAATCTCAAATCTTTTGCTTGCATAAACTCTATCGGTTGAGTTTCACAAAGCAGAACTTTAATACTCCACTTTTCTACAAATATGTTCTGCATTTGTTACTCAATCTCAACTGAAGTGGATATCCTTTAATCCTTAATTCTTGCTTTTGATGTTGACCCGAAAGGAGTTTGTTTATTCTTTTTCTGATGTATAAATTGTTATCTGTCAGAGTGGGAGACATCCTTACAAATAATTGCCATCCTGGGCCTCGGTCAGGTACTTCTTATGATACTCAACTTGAATTTGTCTATACTTGCAAGTAGAAATATTAGGTTGTCCACTTTGGAATTACCATTACTCTACTGTTATATTGACATGGTATGGCAACTCCACCAGACAATTTATCGGCGAGTTTCTTCCTATAATGATGCTGAAGATTTAACTAAAGATGTCAGGTGAAGTTTAACTATCTAAGACCAGTTTAAAATTTGATCATTTTTGCACCAAAAATCTCTAACTATTCCCATATTGTGGATTCTCTTAGGCTGTTGCTTACTCCAGTCAGTCTTGGAGCTCAGGCATTATCATGGGCGGCCGGGAAAGTTGAGACAAATGGCGTTGGACTACCGACGTCTCCTTCGTCCTCGGATGTGCAAAACAGGGTGCTGCAGGCTGCTGCAAAGCACGAATCTCAGCCTTCAGTGGACGAAGGTATCCAAAACAGACCGGCGGAGGCAACAATTCCAGTCAGTGAGGGCGTAGATCTTTCTGAGGCATAGAACATGATTTTCTGGGATTGCATATTAATGGTTGTTGATGAAAGCCCCTTCTTCTGATCTGATCTTGATTGTCGATCCAGGTACACTAACAGTATAGCATGTTCAAATAGATGACTGCTTGGATCAGTTACTCAAGAAAATTTGTGAGCTGATTTCATTGCCTTGTCTTCTCTCTTTCTCTCTCTCTCTCTTCAGAAAAGATGTAGAGTTCTTTGCATATACTAAATCTACATCCACCCCCCTCGCTAGCATTTTTTATCCATTTCTTTACCACGCCTTTGCTAACAATGAATTTGAGTGGAGGATGTGTGTGAATTTCACCGAGCTTACCCTAAATACTATTCAATAAGAATAATAACTAAAGTCCTATGTTTAAGAGAATTCTACCAATACCATTAAATTACTTGGAGTTACTTTCTTTAGTTATTGGGTTTTTTTCGTTTTTTTTTCACAAATTGGATCAAGAAAAAATCGAATCTATCCATTCAAAGACACCACCGACCAGAGGAACTTGGCTCGACCTTAGCCTCGAGTGTTTTCTGAATTCATTTTTTTGGTCCAAATTATTCACAGTAATTATTTAATTATTATTCTTATTGTAGTTAATTGGGTTGGGTTATTACTTATAAATTTTCCTTCTTTTTTTTTTTTTTTTTTTTTTTTTTTGGGAGGATATATAAATTTGTTTGAATATGGTTGGATTGGGAAATGGGCTTTATACGAGTTGGGCCGATTCAAACATTTGTTGTATACACGCGTTAAAGTTATTGGGCTCAAAAGCCCAATAACTAAAGAACGTTAAGAAAGCAGGCCCGTCTTCTTAATGAGTAACCGAAAACGAGTTTTATTGAACTCGTGAGGGCTTATTTGTAATTCAATCTTACGCGGTTAGGGTTTTCTTTTCGCTCATCTTCTTCAGAGCCTATAAAAGCCGCCTTNTTTTTTTTTTTTTTTTTTTTTTTTTTTTTTTTTTTTTGGGAGGATATATAAATTTGTTTGAATATGGTTGGATTGGGAAATGGGCTTTATACGAGTTGGGCCGATTCAAACATTTGTTGTATACACGCGTTAAAGTTATTGGGCTCAAAAGCCCAATAACTAAAGAACGTTAAGAAAGCAGGCCCGTCTTCTTAATGAGTAACCGAAAACGAGTTTTATTGAACTCGTGAGGGCTTATTTGTAATTCAATCTTACGCGGTTAGGGTTTTCTTTTCGCTCATCTTCTTCAGAGCCTATAAAAGCCGCCTTCAACCCCCCAATTTTTCATAATCCGCCTGCAGCGAGCTTCTAGAGTTCCAATTTCTAGGGTTTCTTATTCGTTATCCATAACGTTAGGATTATTTCTTTCGTAATGGTCTGTTCTAGTTTTTCCTTATCTCTCTTTTGAAGAAAAAAATGAATAACGTTCTTGAATTTCGATTTTCTTGAATGGAAGAAGAAAAATGGAGGGAAGCCAATTTGCAGAGCAAGGGCGTCGATTTATAATGGCGTGAATTGCATTGAAGGTTGGCCATATGAACGTTTGCGGTTCTCCGTGCCTGTCAAATTTCATTAGTTTTGATTATGGCCTCGAACAAGTCGCTACATTCATTTCGATCTCATTCTCTTCTTCTGTTCATCATTTTTCATGTTTTGATTCGCTAGTCTTTTATCTGACCAAATCTCAGAGTTTCTTCTGCTTTTTTTCAATTTCTGGATTTTCCACATGAAATTAGATCTGTAAAGTTCAAAAGAATGTCCGGACTCTGGTAACTCTTTTAGATTCTAGTTGCTGATCTCTAAAAGATTAGCGATGTTATTGATTTTTCGAATTCGATCCTCATTCATAGCTTACGATTCTCTTTTACTAATTTGAGATTCGATCAGTGTTTTGAACTTATTCAGATTTTTTATAATCCTTTCAGCGTTCCTTCCCAATCTCTTATACCTTTCAGTATTCAATTTATGTCTTATTAAGTGAGTTTTTTTCAGAAAATTTTTGTCGTTAAATAATTATTAGTTGAAGTGCAATCTCTAGTAGCTATGGGGAAAGGTCGGAAGGTTGATGAAAACAGCGTCCGCAATGGATTGTGGCGCCGCACATGGGTGAACCCTCGAGGGTGTTTGACGGTGGCCGAACGTGCACGGTGTGGCGGGTCGGGTGCCTGCCACCCAATTTTGAATACCTCTAAAACAGAAGATTGATTATAAATTCAAAACCCAAGTAGGGATTTGGCCACTGATTTCGTTAAAATCAACACACGGATTTGTATAAAACAACATATTATATGTATAAAACGTATTATTTTGTTGATCTGAGGAACCAGAAATTACAGCTGAGCTAAGTTGCACAAAAAGGAGAAAAAACGTAGAGAACGCTTAAAACTCTCCTACTTCATTCTCTAGTTGACTCACACGATATTTTTTCACAACAACACAACTTGATATTTTCTTATCCTCCGACAGTGGCGATTATTCATTCATTTGCTTGTTTGCACGTACTACAGCTTAACCTCCCGATTGAAAATCCAACTGAACGGAATGGTACGACCTTCTTTCGCCCGTGCTTGAGCTCTTTCTTCTAGCCTTCTAATTCTTGCTGGTAACCCACACACATAATCCTGAGCCTTCTGCCCCTCGCCTGACAGTCCTGTGAGCCTTTCCACCTTCCATCTCCCGACCAAAAACTCCACTATTTCGGCGTAGTCCTTGGCTGTATAAACCCCCAGCCTCTGAGCAACTGCCGAGAAGTGATCGAAGAGGTTGTTGTCACGGCCATCGTACATCATGTGGGCTGGCATTGTAATGTTCTTCCTCATCATGTCTTCGAAACACAGGACGGTTCCTTCAGGGTCTATCTCAAACAGCTTTTCAACGATTTTTGTATATGCCACCTCGTGTCGCTTCTCATCTGCAGCAATTGTCCCACATAATTGGGCTAACTTTATGTCTCCGTTCTCCATTGCTAATCTGGCAGTGTTCCCATGGGAGATGAAGGTTGCTCTCTCTTGAAATGAGGTGTATATAAATCCTAGGTAAGGGTTGTTTTCAGTTCCTGGGTCCTATAGTAACACACCATATGAAATTTTAATAAAAAATTTAGCAGGTCTAGTGAAAAAATGGAGAAATTGTGTCAATATCCAGCAAAATGCGTGGAATACTCCAAAATGCTTCAGCAAGTGTGTGTGTGCGCTTTCGTGTGCCTTATGTGCATACTGTGCTCTTAATCACTCGTGGGTTTGAAGAAAAGCAAAATTTGAAAGTAATGAGATGAGGAAAAGGAAAATTCGTTGGTGTTTGTTAGATGGATCTCACCATTCCTGATCCAATCAAATACTGAATAGTTTTCTCAACCTGCCTCATATCAACTCGCCCTGATAGGTAAAGATATTTGTTTAGTAGGTCACCATGCCTGTTCTCTTCAGCAGTCCAAGCCCTCGTCCAAATCGCCCAAGAATTGAGGCTTGCTCCCGTTTCATCCCTAACTCCATCCATGGTATTAAGCATTGTCTGGTAAGTTGGAAGGGCATCTTCTGTAATCATATCTCCAACTAAAACGACGAAGTAATCATCAGGGACTTCCTTTGCCCTCTCTCTAAGCTCCATCACTTGCTCCTGAAATCCCTCAGATGCCGGATCTGGCAAGAAATCCTGCGGTTGCCAACACCTCTCCACTGGTTTCAAATGAACTAAAATGTTTTCTGCTGCCCAATCCTCCAGACATTTAAACATCTCTATCTTCTGTGGTGGCATCGAGTGAGTTACTTGAGGATGCACTTCCCTAGGAGGTATAAAGGGTTTCTTAAGGGCCTCGACCTCCCTGGTATGTTTACGAAACACACAAAACAAGGCAAAATAGTTAAGCAACAGAGATTTCTCGTTCCTGCATAGGCAGATTACAATTCTTCTAAATAATTAAGTCTTCATTGCAAACGAGCTGTGTTTTACAATTAAAAATACTGTCCAAAGGTAGAACAAGTAAGGAATCGGATTACAGAGAATTATACCCTGAAAAACTTGGTCTATTAACGGTTTATGAACATATAAGCAGAGAAATGTCAGGAGAAAGGAATATATGAGCTGCGGAAGATCAGAGCGAAGAATAAATGAACAAGATAGAACACTCGCAAGAAGACAGAAAAAGTGAACACCGCTCCGCCAATACACCAAAGAATATCAAATGAACAATCATGCAACCTGAAAGAAAATTGAACATCTATATTTCATTTTCTGGAATTATAACAGAATAAGGAAGAAACCTATTCGTACCGGCAGGAATGAGCCATAATCACTCAGTCAACGTGATATGCGATAGAAAACGAAGAAAAACAGAACGATAACAATGCAATTGAAACGGCTTCTTATTCATCACCATTCAGGAACACACTCCATTATAATAAAAGAGATCAAAATCAATACACAGATTTGAAAAACAGAATAAGAAAAAAGGAGAATCTACCTGGAAGTGGAGCGGAGAGTGGAGGCCACAACGAACTTAGGAGATCTGAAACTCGCAAGCTGCGGCATCGCAAAGGACGGCAACTTAGGAGATTGAGAGGTGAGAAGATGGAATTGGAGCGCCATTATCCAACTGTTTCAGTATGCACCTTCCTTATTCCGGTGAGTTCGTCGGAAAACGGTTCCTCGGTAGAAGAAGAAGGAAATGGACCAAGAAATGGAGGCCGCTTTACGCATGTGACTGTGATGCTAAATGAATACCAGAAAGAGCACAAGCTTATTTTGACATGTAAAGTGCTTTTTATATCCAAAATAATAATAATAATAATAATAATAATAAAACATTTGAAATAACAATCCTTCAAAAATAATTAAGTGGCAATGGTTAATTATTATCTATTATTATTTCACATATTGTCAATATTATTATTATATAATTTGAGTTAAATTGTAAATTTGTTGATTAAATATATTAAAAAAATTAAAAAAATCATATATCCAAATTTTGAATTGGGATTATAAATTTTTTTTTTAATAAGAAACTAAATATAATTTTAAATAAATTATCAAACATTATTTACTCATAAATAATAAAATAAAATTAAAAAAGAAAAGCCAGCAATAAATTTAAGACCAATGTATTTTTGTTAAATAAAGCTCCTACTTTTTAATGCAATCTCCCATTAATTAATAATATTAAATTAATGGAATTTCTTGGTGGGGTTAAATAAACTTCCTACTTACTTTTTAATGCAATCTTCCATTAATTAATAATATTAAATTAATGGA